AGTATTGAGGCTTGGTTCGAAGATGAAACAGTTGAGCATGATGACGTAGAGGCGTGGTTCGAACAGGATATCATTCAGTCTACAATCAAGGATACGGTTGAAATAGATGCATTAGACAGATCAGAGAACTTACCAATATGGACCGACGACCAAATCATTGATCAGATTAGAGAAAGTTCGAAAGCCGACTCAAGAATTCAAGGAGTGATGCACGCATTAGAAGGACCTACGGTTACCAAACTCGACGATGCACTAGGAGATTATGAGGTGCACGAAGGAGTCCTGTATAATAAAGGTCTGATTGAAGTTCCGGATGACAAAAAGTGCAAGTTCGAGATCCTACGAAGTCGGCACGATAGCGTGCTGGCTGGCCACCCAGGGAGAGCTAAGACACTTAGTCTAGTACAGAGGCAATATAAATGGAAATCGATGAAAGCTTACGTGAATAATTTTGTAGATGGATGTGGATCTTGTGCTCGCATAAAACCATCAAGTTTGGCGCCATTCGGATCACTCGACCCGTTGCCAATCCCGGCCGGACCATGGACTGACATCAGTTACAATGTGATCACGGACTTACCGGTATCGAAAGGAATGAACTGTATATTAACAGTTGTCGATCGACTCACGAAGATGGGACATTTTATTCCCTGTACTACAGAAATGGACGCAGGAGAGTTAGCGACACTGATGCTAACCCATGTCTGGAAGCTACACGGCGCTCCGAAGACCATTGTGTCTGATAGAGGTAGTGTGTTTATAGCAAAACTTACCGAGTCACTGAATAAACAATTAGGTATTGCCTTGCACCCATCGACGGCCTTCCACCCTCAAACCGACGGACAAACCGAGATTGTCAATAAGGCAGTGGAGCAATACCTGCGCCACTTCGTGAGCTATTGACTGGACGACTGGAACAAACATCTTCCATTAGCTGAGTTTGCATATAATAATGGAACGCACACTGCAACAGGATACTCACCTTTTAAAGCAAACTTAGGGTACGATCTGTCATTTGGACGGATACCAACAAGAGAAAGATGCATACAGGAAGTGGAGGAACGGCTAAAGAACATAGAAGAAATTCAGAATGAGTTAAAGGAAAACTTAAGACGAGCTCAAGAGGCAATGAAGAAGACTTACGATGAAGGTAGACGGCCAACACCAGATTGGAACGTGGGTGATGAAGTTTGGCTAAGCTCGAAGCACATCTCAACCACACAACCATCAGCAAAATTGGACCATAGGTGGTTGGGGCCGTTTGGCATAGAGAAGAAAATATCGCCTTCGGCCTACAAACTACGATTACCGTTAACGATGAGTAGAGTCCACCCCATGTTCCATGTATCAGTACTACGAAAATGCTCACCAGATTTGATTGAGGAGCGCCAACAGATTGAACCGCAACCCATAGAGATCGACGGAGGGGAAGAATGGGAGGTGGAGGCGGTACTGGACAAGAGGCTAAGACGAGGAAAAGCCGAGTATCTTATCAGTTGGAAAGGGTGTAACCAATCAGAAGACTCATGGGAGCCAGAGATCAATGTCAGCAATGCGAGGGACATGATCGACAACTTTGATTTAAAGTTTCCGAAGGCAGCAGAAGTTCACAGAAGAACGAGATGCATGTAAGAGGGGTAAAGCTTTTTCCCACCGGGTTTTTTAATGCAAGCCCCGGGGAGGAACGCAGGGCGGCGAACAGGGAGCCTGGGCGTAAAGGGGGGGATAGTGTTATGATCCTAGATCATGGTTCACTGAGGTGTCACAACTCGTGACAGAGGAGACACTCGAGCCTACTCTTGTTCAGAGCTTTTCCTGTATTGCTCTTTCCTCATGCTACAATAATCATACCAACTAGTTAGCACCCTCTCCCTCCGTTGCCTCCACGAAAGACCCCTGAAGCCGGTCATAACAGAGCGATGGCAAGTCGAATCGATTTGCTGTCAAATGAAGTCAATGACTTATACAGATACAAGATATTAGCAGATTGGAGCAGTATATAGAATCAAAGAAAGCTTGTTTTACCTTATTGAGTTGAGATTCCAGCCACTCATAAACTGGTAAGACTGCATCAATGCTTGTATAAGTTGATTGAGAGAGCATGTTTGTTGCTTTCTCAAAGGGTTGAAGAAATTGAACAAGACATCCAATGAGTTCCCACTCGGAAGGGCTGAGTGAAAACTTAGTCATTGAGGTGTCCCTTGAGCACTTCAAATCAATAACATCCTTCAGTTCGAGTGCTCTTTTGAGAGCATTGAGATCCGAATTCCATTGAGTCTCAACATTCCGGATGAGTCCAAGACGGCGACCGATTTCGGATTCCACAAGGGTTTTGAATTATTTCTTACGCTTTGGAGTTTTCATCACAGCTGTGATGAATGCCATGAGACAAGTCAGGGCTCCAGGAGTATCGACGTGATCAAACAAATCGTCTTCGAGCACATCAGCGAGGTTGACCAAGGAAGTTTTGCCAAGTTTTTTTGAAAAAACAGCCAAACCAGCCCGAGAAATGAGGTTAATGACGTGAGCTACACATCCAAGTAAGTTCTGGTCCTTTTGAAAAGATTCGATCTTGCCCGCAATTTCCCGTGCCATAGCTCCGTTTGTTGATGCATTGTCAGCAGTTATACAGTAGATCTTCTCATCAATCTCAAATTTTTTGAGACACTCCATAAAATATTTTGCAAGGTTAGCACCTGTCTTCGGTCCATCAATCTCTTGCATTGCTAAGATAACTTCTTGCATCTGATATTGATGATCAATCCAGTGAGCTGTTATTCCTAAGATTGGAAGATTGTTTGAGGATGACAATTCATCACAAGTAATGTTGATGGCGAGTGAATCATTCAATACATTTTTGAGAAGAGTACGGCAGACACGGAACTGGGTTTTCACAGCCTCCATCACACAATCGGAACCAACAAGGAGGGGAGTAATCTCCGGATTACATATCTTAAGGAGCTGTTTGAACTCAATACGATCCACGACCGTAGCTGGCATCTCGGCGTTGACAATAAGTTTGACGAGTTGAAACTTGAGAGACTCTCAAGAAAGCTTGGTAAGCTGAAAACCAAGAGAAGAACCATCAATAAAGTTATAAATATTTGATCATCTTGTGATTAAGGTAAGATACTGACTGTTTCAAGCGTGCCGTTTTGGAAATATGACTTGATTGCACCTTGTTGTGGCTCAGAATCAGGTGTAATCTTGTGTTGACGTTCAAGATGTCGGGCTAGAGACTTTGTACTCTGACTTCGGTCAGGAGTCATAGCAACTCCACACACATGGTTGCTTCCTGCTGGTTTGGCCACTTGGCAGACATACTTGACTGCACCATGAACTGTATCGGTCTTGAAGTATTTCCAAACCCACAACATCTGGTTCTTGGTGACTTTGACAGATGCTGATGAATTTGAAACTTGGGTAGATGCGACAAGCTGGGAAGAACTGGAATCTTTCTCAGTGTCAGACAGTATGATTGGACTCTGAGATGATGTGTGAGGCGACGAGCGGCGAGGGCGTTTTGGTGCCATTGTTGGCTAATCAAATTGAATTGTGTGGGGCTGAAACGTGCAAAAGCTGGGTATACAGCATGAAAAAAAAAATCTGCTTTTTTCAGCATAGCTGCGACCACCGGGCCGGGTCGACCCGGCCAAAAAGAATTTGGGCCCCGGGCCAATTTTAAATCTCCGGGCCAGGTCCGGGTCGGTGCATTAGTTATAATTGTGCTGAAGCACATGCTTTCAGGTGAATATAATTATCTTTGGGAAGAGAAAACATTAGTCTTTTGTTGACTCAAAGATCAGTTATCAGCTGAAAGATAACTTAACTAACTAAACGTATCATCTATTAAATTGAACCTTTGTTCTAGGTCAGAGTCTTCTTCTTAGAAAAAGTTGTTGGAGGTTGTTATAATTGTGCTAAAGCGCATGCTTTCAGATTCTTTGCATAGAACCATGATCAAAGACTTCTAGACATTCTTGATTGTACTCGCAGCTTCAGTTTTAAAACCCTTGCTAGTTTGAGATTTGGTTGATAACCTCTCTACTGATTGTTCAGGAGTTGGGGCTTGTGGTATCTTTGCCCTCAAGGCCTGTGGTTAAGTTTGGGTAGACATTTGGTGATTGTAATAGGTTAGAGGATATAGGAGGGCGGAGAATTTAAAATTTGATTGTCCAAGCTTTCCTTCTCTTGAAGTTTTATTAATTTGTGAATTCAATGGTGTTTGAATTGTTGTGATGATATGTTATCACAAAAAAAATTGTCCTTTATAAATTTTGCTTATGTTGAGGAAATTTTTTTTTCCCATCTTTTCTTGGTACCCTTTTCCCGGGTATCAAGTCTTCTCAACACATCTGGTCCTTGTTCCTTTTTCATGGAACTACACAGGTCCCGTAACCTGTTAAGGCCCTCTTGGCAAGCAAGCCTGCAAGAGAGGGACTTATTGGTTATGCACCATATTTGGCATGTGAGCAAAGAACTTTTGGCTGTGGAGTTTTTCAGCCCACCATAACTTCTTACCCTACAAATAGAAGCCTTTAGACCAAAGAAAGGTCCACTTTGCCCACTCAACCTACATGCAGAAAGGCTTGAAAAGTGGGTTCACATGTAAGATTTCAGCCTGCCTGGTGTGCACTTTTGACAGGTTGGCCAGCTTTTTCAGAAATCTTGGTTTTTTTGCTAACTTCAGTCTTCCATTGCTCTACAATCATTGCATCCAATACATAGCTAAATACATGAATTTATGCTGATTGAGCAGGAAGACAAGACCTCTCTTTGGTCTGAAGGCTGTCTATTTGTAATGTAAGAATTTATGGCGGGTTGAAATGAACTCCCCAGCCAAGAGTTTCTTGCTCATGCGTCAAATTTGGTGGATAACCCACAAGTCCCTCTCTCACAGGCTTGCTTGTCAAGAGGAACTTTGTTAGGTTAGACAGGTGCCATTGTTCCTTTGGGCACCTGTGTAAGGTAAGCTCTACAGAACACAAGAATCAGATTATGTGATGGCCAGAGGTAGCGGAACTTAAATGTTTGTTCAATGGATCAGTGAAAGCCAATTGTGTAGCATCTCAAGCCCATCAGACAATTTCACCATACCCAAATTTGCTACTTTAATAAGAAAGAGAAGGTGGGATGTACAACAAGTTATTTTGAAATTCAAGAGCACGTCTGGAGTGACCACTTTTAATCGCAGCGACCAAAGGTTTCATCAAGCCTGTGCTTCAATACCACCATCACCTAAAAAGACAAAAACAAAACAAAAATAAGTCTATGAATGTGAATTCGGTAATCGAAAACTTAGACTGACCTGCTTCACGCTTCTTGAGCACGATTTCACCTCCAACGGCTCGGCGCCAGACGTCCTTTACGTCGTCGGTGACAGTTCTGTCGACGAGAAGCAAGGTTAGGTTGATCTATACAAAGATGGATGATAAAGCACCTGACTCTCATGAAAACTCACTCGAAATGGCTCGTGGCATCATACGACCGAGTAATAAAAACATTGTTCTGTTGACCGGAAGCAGCAGGAACGTAGATCGGACTGACGGTTACAAATCTGATGGCAAACGATGAACGTGAGCAGTGGTCTCGTTTTCTCACCATGCATATATGGAAAATGAAATGACTCACTTGTCATGGATAGGGCCCAAAAGTTTGTAAGCTGGTTCCAGTTCTAGTTCAGGGGTAGAGGTCTCAACGATTGTAGAGACGATAGCCACGTAGTAATCCTTAGCGCAAACATTATGGGTCGAAGAGATAGCGGCAATATAGATGTCTGAATAGTCGAGAAATAAATGAACGCCGTGTTCAGTGCAGGGGGAGTGGTCTGAACATTTCACATACCGTGTTTACGACCGATCTGAGCTTGTGGAACGACGAGTTGGAGAGAATCACTCTCGTCTGTGTTGGGGATAGGGTGCTTCAAAAGGCAAATGGATCGGACCACCTTGCCTTCTTCCATGACCTGCTCGGTTTTACCGTTAAGGAAATAACTAGGATCACCAATGACCTTCTTGGCCTTCACTGTCTCTTCCCCACTCCTCACACCGCAAACCTTTCCATCAGCGTCATAAACAATCTCATCAATTGGCTTATCCAACATGTAAGTTCCACCGTAGATGGCGGACAACCGCGCAAAACCTTGAGGTAATTCGCCTAAACCATAGAGAGGGTAGATGAAAGGGGACTTTCCGTGACGAGTGACGGAGGTTGTGTAAAGCATGATTCGATCGTAAGTATCTCTTGCTGGTTTGGTCTTGTACGAGTCTTCCGAGTGGAGGGCCATAGCATGACCGATGAAGTCCACTGTAGCAGGCTCGAGAGAAAATTTGGCAAAAACATCCTGCATGGATGTCTTGTCAAGATCAATACCTAGAAGAACAACTTATCTACATCAGTCTGGTATTTATAAAAAAGCCTGCCAGTAGACTATGCTTACCGCTGTGAGTGGAAGGGTCGTTGGGTTTGTAGTTTGCTACCCACTCGAAAAACTTTTTGGCCCTCCTCTTCTCAAAAATGCCCATCAAGGGAGATGTGATGGCTTCGACTTCAGTAGAAGGAACCTTTGCTACCTTTCCGGCTGCCAATACATAGGAGCCGGCGATCTGCGTGTTGTGGTATGACAATGACGTCAGTTCATGATGGATGTGACCAAAATGTGAAAGGTACTTACCTGCTTGAACTCGAGGTAGCGAGTGACATCGGTATGTGCTAGGATATTGGTGAGCTCACCGTTGAACATCATGAACTGCAATCATCGGAAAGATCAGACAGTCAATGCTTGTTACTTGGTGCCCAGGTGATACAAGCAAGAATAAATGATTAACCTTAGGGATCAAGTCAATGGCCCAATCACGGTCTCTCCCCAACTCTTTGGGAGGTTCTTGACCAGGCCTGAACTTGCGGTAGAGCTGGGTGAGATTGAGCGAGGCAGATTCCGCGCCGTAATAGTCATTTCTGGGATGATGCGAAGTCGGAAGTTAATGATCGATCAAGGAGCCAGTTAAGTCACCCTGGAAAGAATGTATACCTGTCCATATGGAGGACCTTCTTCCCATCTACAGATAGTAGACCAGACAAGATACATTCAGTTAAACCCGTACCAAGGACGATGTAGTCATACCTGTGTCATTATAATGGAGATCAAGAATCACGTCGTCAACAGGCTATTTCAAGATGAAGAAAGATTGAGCATTGGGAATGGTAATGTGCGCACTCTTCATCCATGTTGTGTTGTCTTGATCTGAGTAGGAATAATGAGATGATGTAATGGCTTTCTCTGATGGTCGATAGTTTTGTAATTTGAAGTCTGATGCTGCTGAATGACGATGATGAAACTGAAGGAGCTTCTCAATCGGATCGGTCACCTCGAATACCGAGATGGATCCCCGCGAACGGACTTTGGTTCAATCGAATGGGACCGATCAATGCCGTCATTCACATTGTCAACTTTCTGAGCCATTGGATTCCAAATGATATTTCCTGATATTTCAAATCTGCAAGTCGAGAGTCTGAGACCTCCAACTAGTCAGTACATGGCTATCTCATGAAGGCAAATGACAAACGTTCATTTTGATTGATATTTGACGATTCCAGTCATCTCCTACCACCTCAATAGAATTCGAATGACACGATCGGACACCAAGATATCGTATATACATCAAAGACACAAAACATTCTGTAAAAATATTTGTTCACGGTGTTGCTCACACTTTTTGCAATCCTTCACACTTGTGAAATACATTATGATTTATATTATCAATCTTATCACTATACCTGGCTTCCTATATCTTGTTATGAAGCCATCAAGATTCACAATTTATATGTATATGCTGAGCTAGAGTCCTATTGTCTTTTGATGATCAATGACAACGTGATCACCAAGATGATCACTCAAAATTCATTTTCTGAATCATATATGATCTTTTTAGCATCGATATGAGCCTGAATGCAGCTTCACAAGTTGGTTTTTGAAAATAATCTGAATCTCAATACTTATATAAAACAAGCTTTGTCCTTTTTACAAAAAAATCTGATTTCTTTCACAGTCAAAGATACCCTAAATGAGAGACGTGTTACTTTCACTCTACTTACAACCACCGAGCTCAAGCTGGATAAAACCGGTATGCATCCAAGATGAATTAAAGGAGAGTACTCCATCCCATAAGGAGGGATGTTGCCAAGATTGTGACTGTGAGCAATAATGGATGTGTAGCTAAGGAAGACCGTGAAGCCTTTTGTCGTGGGAAAACGGATTGAAGAGTCAGATACTTTCTCTTGTGAGAGTCAGTCAAACAGAAAGCTACTTACATCGCTCGTAGGATCATCAATGGAAGGATCTACATCATCAGGTGGTTTGAAATCACTTTCAACTGGAGGTTCAGGAGTGTTTGATGGTGTTGATGGGCTTTCTTTGGGTGGTTGAATATCTGGCTTGTCTCCACTACTGACTTCTGGAGCCTGAGGGTAGCCTCCTGGTTCTTGACCGCTACTCACAACTGGTGGATCCCCACTGCTCACTTTTGGTTCATCACCTTTTGGACTTTCAATACTTGGTGGTGGTTCATCTTTCTTTGGTGGTTCTCCACTGCTGATACCGGGTGGTGGATCATCTTGCTTTGGCGGTTCTCCACTGCTGATACTTGGTGGTGGATCAGCTTGTGGACTTGTAGGAGTTGGTGGTCCTCCTGGGCTGGGTTCACATCCGCTACTGATGGGTGGTTTGTCTCCTTTGTGTTTCTTTCCTTCTTCTGGACAAGGTTTCTTTTCGGGTGGTTTATCACCTTGTGGACTTGGTTGATTTGGTGGTGGTCCTGGGCTTGGTTCACCACCGCTGCTCACTTTTGGTGGACCACTTTCTGGGGCTTTTGGAGGAGGACTGGGTGGTTTGTTTTCTTTTATTGGCTCATATCCACTGCTGATTGGGGGAGGCTCCTTTTCCGGAGTTGATGGTACCCCACCACTGCTGACAGGTGGTGGTGCGCTAGGTGGCACTGGTGCTCCAGGGGTCGGAGAAGTTATGCTTGGTTCATCACCGCTACTGATTGGTGGAGTTTCTTCTTGAGGTTTGTCATCTTTTTTAAGTTTCTTTTGTTCTTCTGGACAAGGTTCCTTTCCTGGTGGTTTATCACCACTACTGATAGGAGGAGGACCTCCATCACCGCTACTGATCTTTGGTTCTTCTGGTTCTTTTGGCTTCTCAGGTGGTAAACCTTTGTCAGTAGAAGGGTATGATGGATCTCCAGGACAGATACATCCCTAATTTTGGGCAGATGGATATTTAATGTTAGCATTTTGAAGACTTTCTTCCCCTGTTCTTGAGTAAAGTCAATCGTCCCTACCTGAGCAGTCATGCTGCCGGACATGGAGCCAGATGATTTTGCGGTCATGCTGGTTTTGATGGAAGCCGATTTAGAATCTCCTGAGCCTTCTCCCAACGCGGATGGCGACGTACTCGCTAGCAAAGGGACTTCTCCTGACATAGGCTTGGTATCCATGTTACCGGATGGAGGTTGAGATATGGTATGATTCACATGCGAGCTTAGATACACTAAGAGTGATCCTATCTTGATAAACTTCTGGTTCATTGTACTTTAAATTTGATAACAGAGAAGAATATGAAATTAGAAGTAATCTACCCTCCAATGGGTTTTGGCTGGTACTGGTACGTTGTGTGCTGGTACTGGTAAATGTATAGTTTCGATCTGCGGAATAAGTTTGCTGAGTGGAAGAGGAAATAAAATAAAATCTTACTAGAAAAAGAAAAATTTGGGGGACATGCACAAGTCAAGCTAAGAAAGTGATGGGTCTTATTCAATTCTCAAAAACCTTTGATTTGGATTCGTCCAGGCTTGAGTTATATCGAAGAAACCGTGAGTCAGCGGGAATCCTTCCCGCCCTTATTTTTCAAAGACAGAAGAATCTAAATGAACTTGAAATGTTTATATTTCCTCGAGATTGCACGTATCACCGACACTTTAGTTCGTTGATGACTGTTAGGTTGAACGCAATTCGTTCCACGGTATCTGAAGGAGCTTCGCTTCGTCGAAGGCGTGAGCAACGTGTACCTCATGATCGTGTTTTTGGTGTAAACTCGTTTCACCTCACTATCAGCTTCAACGACACATGGGTAGCTCAGTCAAATGTTACGCCGGAAAGCTGTGCTGTGTTCGCCTGGACGGTAGGACGGTCTAGAACCTCACAAACTCGACGGGCGGAGATTCACCATACGTCATACGTGATTTTGACGCTCTAACCCCAAGGAAGATTCGTGAAACAAATAACAAAACTGAGTCCTTGAAGGGCTAACAACAAAGTAAGATCGACGTATTGCTTATAAACTGCTTTCAATACCTGATGATGCCCATGGTAGAGTTTCTCACAAAGGCAGACGAAGCATGTATGATTCTCTGGGACTTGGCTCTGATCATAAATAACTTGCCTCAATACTTTGCACGAAACCACCTCATCAGAAGAAGAAACTAGTTTGTCTTTCAACATTCCTGCCATACTTGAGTGATTTCATTGAATGTTTCTCATAGAAACTGGTAACGAAATCTGCAATCAAAATTAGTGAGAGGGAGGCTTTCACAATGACCTGACCACAGTGAGAGGGAGGCTTTCACAATGACCTGACCACAGCCTGCCAGTCAAATCTAGATAGCTTGAGAAATTGTATAAATATCAAAGCAAATTGTCTTCGCCAAGCCAATCACATCCGTTCTCTGACTCAGGGCGTTATCAGGACCCCGGAGAGCTCCTATCGAGGCATACGATGTAAAAAAATTTCTTACACTACATACCCTTCATTGGAGTTTGAATTCATAAAAAGTTGATACATCTCCTCGCTCTTTCCTCAACAAGGCCCAGCCAGAAGCAAGGGACTTGGTCAATTTTGGATTCCATAGCAAGACAAATGTGAAGACTTGTTACAAGCTATGAACTTCACAGCAATTCACAGCAAACATAAGGAAATAAAATCTTTTACATCGTGTGCCTCGATAGTAGCTCTCCGGGGTCCTGCGTTATCCCTATGATATTGTTGGGCGGCATCATCTCATTCCCGGACTGCCACCTCTTCATAAGAGTCTGAAGGGGAAGCCCAATAGAAAACCTGCAACTTGTGAAATGGATCCATAAAGAATTATACAGTAATTTTTCTTCAAAATGACATTGCAAGTCAAGGATCCAGTGGCCAAGGCCCAGCAATCCACACACCACACTATGTTCACATGTGCTCATGATATCTCATTATCCTCTTGAGCTCATGCACTCTAATTGATTTTCTTTTAACGGCAATGCAACCCAAAATCTATCAGACTCTCACACAGGCCAAGTTAAGTGAAGCTGGTGTTCAGGAGTTCCTCATTCTTCATCACCAAGATCGGTATCATTCAGGAATGGTACAGAAGCTTGATCCAAAGCATTCGTACCTCCTGGATATGGAGATCGAGCTTTGTGGCGAGATGCATGTTGACGTCTGATGGCTTCCTCTTCTTCATCAAGATCAAGATCAAGAAAATATGAGGCATCTCCCTGATTAGCCGCATTTTCAAGATCGATAGGTTTGATACTACTAAAGATATTTTTACCACTCCTGAAAGGGTAACAGCAAATGTGGATGATATGAATGACTGTTTTTTTTGAAAATTCAACGGAAAATTCTCAAGTGATAAACAAAACTCACCTCCTTAACATCAATGCAAGCCTGGAAAATTGAATTCCGTTTCGGATGACGAGCAGAAACGTATCAAAGATTTCCTCCTTCTTGGCTTTACAACCTTGAAAGAAAATCACGACCAGTGTGACCAGACAAAACAAAGTGATCGCCAAATCCAGCCAGTTAAACGGCGACTTCCAGAATTGCTGTTGGAGATCAATAAAAGTTGTTACAAAGACATATATGAGAACTCGTGAGTATCAAAACAAACTTGATTGGAATCGGCGCTATCGAGATCACACACCTTTCCAAAGGCAACCAATCTAATACCAACTTCAAGGATCATAGCTGAATTGATGATAATCTCGAGCACGTAAAACGCCAACGTTGGGCACTCTGAGAGAACTGACAAGATCACCGTTGTCAGCTATCCTTCAAGAAACAACCGGTAGCAGTCGCACAGCAATATTAGTGAAGATCTGATCATTCAACGCGAAAAACTTGACAGTTTCAGTAAACTTACGGATAGGATAGCCATAGACAGGTAGAGATAAATGTATCCTTGGCTAAAGACAAATCGATTGGCAATTCCTTGAATGAATTCCTCTCGTGATAGATAATAATGTGAGCGCGAGGGCCTAAATACCCAATGAATCCAGCGATGATCAGACAGAGGTATCAAGGATGTAGATGTTGACTCCTACTGCAAAGTCTGACATAACTCACGCTGGAGTTGAAGAATGGCTTGTGATATTTGATGGTGGGATTGAGCCATCGCCGAGCCTTGGAGAGGAATCAGTGTACTGATTTTGTTCGGATGAAGGTCCTAATGAGTTCATGTTGATAGATCGATGATAGATAGTCGAGCTCTGTAAGGTAGTGGTGGTGGTAGCACTGGGCTGAAAGTGACTTGAGCTTGTACCCTCGAGGGGGTCCGCCAGATGACGGGAGCGTTGCAAAGTCAGGATGAGTAGATATAAGTAATGCTTCGATCTATCGAGGGTTCAAGAGTTTGACGTCAAGATTTGAAAGCCAGTAATGGCATAGATATCAGATTGAGAATTGCTGAGTTGATGAGATGTGAGATGATGACGATGACGATGAGGGGAATCAAGAAGGATCGTACAGACCCCGAGAGTCATCGGGTATCAGAGCTGACCCGACATAGCTCGGACAGTATCCCAGTTGATTCCAAGTTCCATTGAAACATCATGAGTTCGCTTTGGGTGGTGATCAAACCAACATCATGACACTATTGATATATTGGTTAATAAAAGATGGCATCATGGCACCAGAATTTGGATATTTAGGCGTGTTTTTTCCTTGGAACTACAACGCTTTCCGCCTATGTGACTCCATGCTGGCAGGCTCAGTGAAAGCTTTTCTTGCTCAACAAGCATTTCTTAAAACCGTGCCCTCATGCTTTCAGCCTGAAGAGGTAGTACCTCATTACTTTCCCTTGATAGGCGACGGAGTAGTTGGCCTCGCATATTTCTAGGTAGGAAGCTGCTCTAGTATGTAGGCAAAAATTACCTACCTTCAAGTGGTGCATTTCATCATGTTGAATTAAGTACGTATGTCCCGCATGGTATCAAATATTCATGATCCGAATAGCAGTACATTGAAGATGGGAAGAGAAGCCTGGAAAACCCAGAAAGACGCAGTGCTTTGGGTAACACTACTCTCTCATAATGAGCTGTAGAACTAAATCTCATCAAGGTACCTCATGACCATGAGAGTCATTCAAGTTTACCTAAGATGACATAAAATTTTACACAAATTTCTCTCCTATAGTTTAACGGTATGGGAACCAATCGTAAGACGTATACGGTGAGTGAAGAATCAGAATCAGGTTGAAAAGGTTCGAATGAAATTTTTGTCAGCATTCGATCAATAGACTTGCAAATCTATCTTTACAAGAATGAGAAATCATTTGAACGGTTTTGTTGACCACTCACCATGACCGCTGCATAACTTGATATGTATGGCAGCAATGCAAACACAAGCTTCTACTAACACACTCAGTACCCATTTCGTCTCCACTTCAAAAACAAAATATGTAAAGAAGCTTAACCAAAAGAAGGTGTACAAGATCGAAAGTTTCTTGTTTTACTTATACAAAATTACAAAAAAGATTCAGGAATGGTTAAAAGGATGATGAGATTAGAACTGAATTGAAACTCTTCAATCTTCTGAGAACTAAATCAAGAAGAAAAAAGAAAGAATCACCCAAATGGATTTGAAACTGATGATTTGAATTTTGAGAAACTATGTACACTTTGATTTTCTTCACAATCCGTTCTCTATTTCTCACACATCCATCATCCAAGGGAACAAAAATCAAAATTAATCCAAAAAAGAAAACAGATCAAAGCTTTGAAGTTTTGCATAATTAATCTCATCGGTTCAACTTCATTTACATTATTATTTTATCAGTACTTCATTCGACTCCTTCGCATCAAATTGATCATCATTTACTTTCAACTCAAAGCTTCGATTTCATTCGGAAATCAAACATCAACAGTTTGATCGAACTTCAAGATAATCCATTGAATATAGACCCATCAAGATTCTTAGAGAAAACTAATTCATCATCATCATTAAAATATGTTATACTCAATCCTTCAAGTCCGAATTTATATTTCATTCTTGATTACCTTACTCTTCTCTTCAGCATATGGACAAAATGCTGATCAAGTGATCACTTTCACCCGAGGTAGTTCTGTGATTTATTACACATTTACGTGAGTGATCTTTACTCTGACTCTTTACCAATTGGATTCAAGATACTAATCTTCTCGAAAACTGTTTTGACCGAATCGAATTTTGAAATCTGTCAAGTTCACCAGCCATGAGTTATAATCCGATCCCAACTGGAACCATACCAAACGCATTAGAATATTGGAATAGTGTACATGGTAATAATCCTGATGCAACACCTGGAGCAACTACAAAAGATAATGCAAGTAATTCAGATGCTGCAAGTTTTAGGATCGCTAGATTACATGAATTGGCTTGGACAGCTTTCACAGTGATGGTTAGTATCTGTTTAGGAGTCGCAGCTGTTGTGGTTGTTTAGATGGGTTTCTTTAGGGTTTCTTTGGGGTTTCTTTGTTTATTTTTGACTCGAGTTTCATTTATCATTCTTGAGACTTTCATTTCTTTCTTTCTCTCTCTTACATCATCAACATGAAGAACTTAAACATGGAATCTCCTGGAATCTCTTTATCTATCGTATTGACTCAATCATCACTATAGCATTTATCATCATCTTGTTTATAAACGTTTTCTTAACTCTACATATTAATTTTGAATCATATTATACTTGACTCTTTGTTTAGGCTTTGTCTTTGATTTCATTTTTGTTTTCAAATTGAATGTTTATTATTATTATCATCATCATAGAACGTTCTCAAAACTCTTGAATTGACGGATATAGCTAGTTTATCTTTCAGACATCACTGTTTCTGTTCCACAAATCTGATTCTGGCAATACATCTTAGTAGGTACACCAATCGGGTTAATGAAAGAATCAGTCACTTCACAAAAGCAGTTTGATTGAATTTTAGAATCCTATATCAGTTCAAATTTGATTGATGTGGTTAAGAAATTCGATCAAAGAGATCAAGCTTTGTATTCCGAAATCTTAATTTTTGAACTTGTTTACCAAAAAAAGTAAACCATTGGAAGGAAGTCCAAGTAATCTTTTCATGTTATTGACATTTGATCTGATTTCTAATTTGCTGAATATCGATTTCTATTGACGGTATCTTTTTTGGTGATTCGTTATGGGGAAAAGCTTACTTCATGAATTGACAATGCCCCTGTTGTTCTCTGAAGGGCTGATTCTTATAAATAGTTATTCTTGGGATCGATTTTTTCCCCTTCATCTTTCATCTCTTCCATCAAGTTTTGTTATCTCAGCTTTTCCTTCTTGAAAACCTTTATAGCTCTATTCTGGTTTATGTTTTCACAATCATTCCTTGAATTCTTTGGCCACAGTCAACAAATCCTTTGATCTCATCAACCGTTATGTGCACGCTCAGTATGAATTATAGATCTTCACCAGTAGTTCGGCAAGATGTACCCTTTTCAGATTCTGGTCAAACTCATTGTCCACATACGTATACCTTCATATCACACATCGTCCAACTCCCTGGCATGGTCCTTTCCATCTAACGGCCAAAAGTTCGACTTTGTCTATCTCCACCAAACCTTACTCAAAGATCCACACTTGAAACCAAAGGATTGGCCTTTTATATGATTCATGTTCTATCGAGATTCGAACCACCAAAGGATATCTTAAGTCTATCTGATGATTAACAAATCCAAGTCATCGGTATCAAAGTCCGACCACAATCATCACATCTACGATCGGTCAATTACCGCGCATACATTCTTTGCCGAACAGTCTACGAAATACGGCACTCGTCCCGTGGCGAGTCATAGGAAGATGCATATTCATACCGTAGAGGGTCAAGAGCCCTGGTTTCTTATCACCACTGGCCCTCTGGCTTTTCTTTGAGGAGTCTCATCTTCTCTGTTCGTCGAACTCTTCATCAACCCTATTTACGTTTTCTCTTCCGACTGTCATCTAAAAGTTCAAATTTCCTTGATTCAATTCCATTCAACTGTCTATCATTTATATACAGCCGTTCCAAGAAAGGTTGACAACTGTTTTTTGGAGAAAGTTGTCTCCGCAGCGGCTAAAACCAAAGACAAAACTTGATTACAGGCTTATTATTTCCTGTATTCTTCCAATTAGCGGAGAGACAAGATCAAGTGAGGGATAAAACCCGGGTTTTGCACATTGGCAAGATTTTCAAAAAAATCAATCTTTGTTGGAACAGCTGTATCAGACCATCGGGATTGATCAAAATCAAGAAAATCTCAAAAAGGGAATCATCAACAACTTTATCGCAATAGATCATTCAATTTCCTTGAAGATTCACGTGATTTCAATGATCCTTTATGCGTTTAAAAGGCTCGATTCATTCTACAAATTGGCCATACTCCAGTTTCTTTTTGACCACACCTTCTAGACACTTTCAAATTGAGTAGAAGTTTTCAACACGATTCCTTTGAGTTTTCCGTCCCGTTCCGGAAAAGATGAGGATTAAACCTTACTATTGGTTTCATTTGAATTTGGCTGGTTCTGATACAATGTCTGTAATTTTTTTCTTTCTTTCATTGTTAGTAAAAAAAAATCAACATGATCGATGAAAAAAATTAAAGATATTTTATTAGGATTAAAAGAATTCAAAAGGAACCAGAATAGGTTTTGAATCTTATCATTTTTTAGGAATGGAGGAATCAATCAACTGTATTTCAACAGTAACTTCTGATTAAGTTACCCCGACTGTTACTTTTGAAACGACTCTTCTTGATCCATTTGGGTGCGCACAATTATCAAACCAACCAGAATTTATGACTAGCAAAACATTGAATATGTTCAGAAGGTGTTGCAAGAAATCAGAAATCGGAACATGATGATTTTATTTGCTGATCCAAAGCATGAATTGATCAAAGTTTTGATGTATCATAGGAATATGATAGCTTAGACCATCTTGTTTATCAATCAATTTTTTTGGTCTCCAAACTTTCGGATGTTTATGATTTCCTTTTTTGTTTGTTTATTATCTTTGTCTTTCCCTTGAAGATGAGAGATTCCGTCAGATGTGTAGAGGCAATGAATTTTCAACACTTTCCAAATATGTCATCCCATATTTCTTTCACACCTTTGTTACGGTAATGTGTCCAAAAGTTGTTATAAGATCAAATCTTTTGGTATAGGACAGACATTCTGATAGTATCGAATCACACACGTTGGAAAAACCCAATCATCAAAAACCTTGTGGATATGTGCATGTATCCTATTAATAAGGAAATTTTGATCATCTTCCACTTTGTATCCTGTGCATGTTTTACACTCTTTTGAATCCCAAAACTTCAATTTCATCCAATTGAGGCCCTCTACGCTGTTTTGACTGTTTCTCCAAAACCTATATTGCTAAACTCGAATTGAAAAATTAAATGAAATCATCACTTGCCAAAAGAATAAGTAAATCAAATGCAAATCATACTACACATTCAAAAACAGTCTGGTACAAGATCAAAAAAAATCTATAAATCCTAAACCTCTTTCAAGCTAACATTCTTGTTCCAAACTTAATCAAAGTTTCCAAACCTTTATGCCATCTTTATCAAGTTCTTCAATAGTTGTAGGTTGTCGAGCAGCCGCAAAAGCCGCACGTAAAGGTGTTACAGTACATAATCCTTTGTTAAGAGCCCAAGCATCACTTCCAACTGGATGATGAGTCGCATTAGGGTCCACAAGTGCACTGATATCAGGTTTGAAGATAAATTTGGCAGGGTGTTCAGAAGAAACTGTTGTAGGAGCCTCAGAGGATGTTAATTCAGTTGAGGATGCAGAAGCTTCGTCGATTTCTGCAGGTGCGGCAGGTTTGGCTGTTGAAGAAGGTAAGAATAGTCGACCATAACGAGTGTGGGCTTCAGTGGTCCAAATCACCTGTGGATCGGTCAAGATGGCTGGTACAAGCTTAAAAGATCCGATTCAAAGTTTCCAAAATCAGTTTTCATCTTTTCAATCACAACCACAAGCACATAGAAAGTGAAATCAGAGTGAATTTCAAGATTACCGGAATGTTAACACTATAAAGGTGTACATGATCAGCTTCTTGATCAGGTTGAACAAATCCCGAAACCCAAAGTTGTTTGATAATCTTCACAGCAATCTGATTAGCCGCTTCAAGAATCTCATCCGAAACCGGTCTTTGAAAGATTCCATAAGACAAAGCAATAGTTTTATGATTTGATAGAGCAGCATCTAAAGAAGCACCAATCGTACCAGAAGAAAGACTAAAGGCACTACTTGTGTTTCGACCATAATTTGGACCTGAGATGATTAAATCGATTTGATTTGGAAATAAATTAAATAATGAAATGTTAGAACAACTTGCAGGTGTACCACTTAATAAGATCCATTGATCTTCTTGATGATTTAAATCTTTGATCGGTTGATCTGATCTTCTTGAACTTTCTGGATCAAAATAACTAAGTGAAATGGTATCTTTGATGATGTAGGCTTTACCGATCCATGATTTTTGGGAATCTGGTAAGACTACTTTTAGTTTTTCTGGTGATGAACCTAAGAAAGCGGATCGAAGATGACGAGAGAATGAAAGGATGAAAGGGGATTCAGAGCTTGAACAAGGTCCATCATCGTTAGTTACTATACCAAAGAAAAGAAAAGAAACAGTGGTGAGTTAGTAAAGTATGATCAGGAGATCGAATGAGGGAAAGAAAATACTAACATAGCACTGTAGGAATGCTAGGCGATTGGTTATTCATGATTTGATGGTGGATGAGGATGTGTATTATGTAGTTTGATTTTGGAAGATGATCGAGATGGAAGTTTTAACCCCTAACCCTTACCACTTTTCAACCAACAGTCAATTTCAGACAAGTCGCATTCAGACAAAGCTAATTCACCACTCAGATACCCCATTCTCACATCACCCCAAAATATTGTTATTTATGAGCAATCACTTCAGAAAAAATGAGACTGTAAGAGTGATGAAAAGATCCCTGCAGACCCAGGATACTCAAGAGAGACTGTGGGCTGCCTTCTAACCAATTATCACAAAGCCTCGGACAGATAGATCACACAATTACTTTTCACAATATCTGAAATATAAAAATCTGCACCAGACTAGCATAAGGACCATCCAATCCTGTTGTGCTCCGGTTAATCTTGCATTAGGGCAGGTTTGATACTTTTTCAAGTTCAGGCCTGGTATTTCCAATAGGGATTTGGTTGGGTGAATGTGTTGGAGAAGCTGCTTGGGGATTCATTCCTCAAGCAAGGGATGCGTGTCTTATATATATGTCCATCTCGCCAATGTAAAAATATGGTAATATGAACATGGTACAACATAGCAATGTCAAAGACATCATGGTGAAAAGGAGAATAGCAGGATTTGATTATACTAGGGTCCAGTTGACAATTTTGATGGTCAAATTGGGGAGGATTCATCAAAGAAGATAAGAGAAAGATACACTTAAAAAGAACACAATGTAAAGGAAAATCACACTTGAAAGCATAAGACAAAAGAAATAGAGAACAAAAGAAAAGAGAGTGGTCATGATATCACAGTCTGTGATTGTATTCTTGCTTTTTGTTTTCAAATGTTATCTTTTGTTTCTCTTCACATTAGAGTTAACCAGGATGTGATCTTGTTATGCTTTGTTAGTGCGCAACTGTGTGTTTCTCACCTTGTGGAAAGGGAAAGAATGCACTTTTCCATATTGCCTGACCACCATCTGCTTTAGATTCTCACTTTACAATTTTGTCTGCTCTTAATCATTTTGTTTGGTTTGCATTTGATTATACAATCACAATTCCTTTGTTTGTGTGACCTGCAATGCTTGGTACTGTACACTGTAAATAGTATACATTATACCCAAGTGGGAATGGGAAAATAAGTAAGAGTATAGTCTGTCATAAAAGGATCTACATACCACTGTACACCTGAGCCATGACATCAACACCAGACCACAGGGTAATTCATACTGTCATATGGCGGGCATGGAATACCATCAGATGGCAAGAATATCTTGGTGGTGCGGAACCGCCGCCAGATGATCCGTGGCACAGCAGTCAAAAGGCAATATTGCATGGCCGCTATTAGATGGGCCATCTGGCGGCCTACAGAGCGTCTCCAAGACAGGTTTGTATGCTGCCAATCATTGAGGAGCTGATCAAGGGAACATCTTTGTTCCCTCCCATAGCCACACCATTCACCCCTTGTGGGTTAAGGCATTGATGTTGAGGAAGATGGGGAGGAGCTCCCTGACCAAAAAATGGATTCTAGGAGCTCTCCAGCTGTCAGTATAAAAAATGAATGACTAGAACCACATCTATGGAGGTAAATGTGAAGTCCGAAGTCTACTTTCACAGCTTTCAATTTTACATTCCTTGAAGAGATTTCCTCTTACTGTCTTCGCCAAAAGACTGGTTGATCTCTCCCCAGACCAACCAGCTGGCCCAGCATGAATTCTGACCAAAATTTTAGCTTTTGACCAGAAATCAGCTGGTGATAGTATAGCCATACCATCCAAAATCTGGCCAAACTCTGAAAGTTTGGCAAGTGTTTGGCAAGATCTTGACATGTCCACTTTTTTTCTGAGATCTCAACAAAATGCTACCTGTGGGGTACATATGTGCAGAAGGCTGAGTAAACAGGTGGCTATCATGTACAGTCCCCTTCAAGAGATTTATGTAATCCTTCAGTTTCTGCAGAAGTGTGACCAGGGTTTGTCCAAAACCCAACGATTATGATTCCTAGGTGTGGGGATTTGTACATCAAGGTCTGCTCAGTTGTCTTTTGAAATGTTAAATTTGAAGGTGAAATTGTCAAACTTTGCCACTGCAGACTGTTCAAATTTAAAGATGTGTTTTTTGACTTTTCAAATCTTTGAAGCTGACCTTCAAATTTAAAGGTCAAATCCAGAAAATTGAAAAGTCAAATCATTACATGCCAGCACTGTATGTGTCAAATTTTTGTAGCTTCCCCTGCCACATCACCTCTATAATTCCCCTTGGACACCTTTCAATTTGTTTGATCCCATTGAAAACAAGTTTGTAAAAAATTTCAATCACACTGACCAAACCAAGTGTGTTCTATTCAATCAGAGCTTAAGTATGCTTCTAGTGAATATCAAAGTCCAAAAATGAATAGTCTGCTGTGGACAACAAGCTTTGAAGGTCAAAATAACCCTTGCAGCCAAAAAAAAGTCCACTGTGGATGCTCTAGATAAGTGAATCACATATGATACATCTGTAACTTTTTTCACTTCCAGAGCCTAGTAGCTGGAAGCTGTGACAGATACTCAGGCAGTTGTTTTGACGCCATTTGTCAGTAACAGAAAGTATGTTACATGAAATTTAGTTGATGAAACTACACCAAACTAGGGCTGTGACCCGGCCCTGAAGCTTCAGGGCCGGCCCCGGGGGTTTGCCCGACCCTGAGTAGACCCGAGGGCCCTCGAAAAGTGCTCAGGGCCGACCAGGGCACAACCTGAGCTCATTATAGGTGCTAAACCCGTCAATAAGGTTATTGTTTTGAATTTTTTTGTATGGTTATGTGTTTGAAATGCTTTGTAGGAGCTATATTAGCCTACATCAATATTGAAAAGAGCTATAGCAGGAAATTTTTTTTTTTTTTTTTTTTTTTTTTTTTTTTTTTTTTTTTTAAA